TTTTTTTTTTTTTTTTTTTTTTTTTTTTTTTTAAAAGATGACCGGTAAGGGGATCTTAACCCTTGACTTGGTGTCGTCAGCACCACGCTCAGCCAGTGAGCGAACCGGCCATCCCTATGTGGGATCCGAACCCGGGGCCTTGGTGTTATCAGCACCGCACTCTCCCGAGTGAGCCACGGGCTGGCCCAGCGATTTGTTTTCGTAATGGGTGCTGCATACCTCTTGTTGACAATTCGTATAGGAGTGGATATATTGAATTATGTTACTCCCTAGTTTAAAATCCTTCAGTGGTTTACCACTGAGCTTGGAATTTAATCCAGTATCCTTTCTGTTTTATGTGATGCCTTCTTGAATCATCCCGTGTTTAATTATCCTCTTCCAGATCTACCTTTACTTTCTCTTTCATTGCCTTAGGCCTTTTGCTCTTCCCACTGTCTAAATGGGTTTTCCCCCATGTCCATCCTCTATCTCTGTTTGTCTTTGTGTGGCTGGCTTTTTGTACTTAAGGTCTTAGTTTAATTTATTTTATTTTATTTTTATTTTTATTTTTTTAAAAGATGACCGGTAAGGGGATCTTAACCCTTGACTTGGTGTTGTCAGCCCCATGCTCACCCAGTGAGCTAACCGGCCATCCCTATATGGGATCCGAACCCGTGGCCTTGGTGTTATCAGCACCGCACTCTCCTGAGTGAGCCACGGCCCGGCCCTAAGGTCTTAGTTTAAATATCATCTCCCTGAGAAGGTTCTTCCCTGAGCACTCTTATCTAAAAGTATAGTTTGCTTCACTCCATTCCCATTTGTGTGTACTTTTCCATCAAAATATTCACCCTTAAGTTATATTTATTTTTTTGCTTAATGTTTTAATTAACCACTAATTGCTCTGTTTTGTCAGACACTATACTTCTTTAATTTATAAAGTGTTCTTGGTGCCAGGGCACAGTGGCACACAGTAGGGTCTTAATTTAACATGTTGAATGAATGAATGAATGAATATATGTTTTGAAAAACGGCAGTTGGTTTGATAATTCCCCAAACCACTAAAGGTCCCTATTAGGGGGCAGTATTTAAGATCATTTTTGCACCATGGAAAGGAATAATCTAAAGTAAATATCGAGGGCTGGCCTGTTGGCTCACTTGGGAGAGCCTGGTGCTATTTTTTTTTTTGGCTTTAACGACAGACATTTATTTTCTTAGAGTTCTGGAGGCTAGAAGTCCAAGATCAAGGTGTTGGTAGGCTTGGTTTCTTCCAAGGCCTCTCTCCTAGCTCTTGCTGCCTCTTCACATGGTCATCCTGTTGTGCACATGCCTCGAGCCTCGTGCTCTTAACACAAACCGAGGTCAAGGGTTTGGATCCCAGTACTGCCAGCCACCAAAAAAAATAAAAAGTAAAAAAAAAAAAAATACAGTAAATATTGGGAATAAAGTTGCCAGGCCTTGGCTTTCTGTATCGACATCTTGTTTAAAAAGAGAGAAAAATAAAAAAATAAATAAAAAAAAAGAGAGAAAAACTTTACAGTGAAGAAACCTGGCAGATACCATTTAACTGAGTACCACCAGTAATAAGACTTTTGACATCACTTGCCTTTTGATTTAATGCACAGAGATGAGCACAGCATCACTTTTATAGTATGCTTGCCAAAAATGTATAGCCTGAATTTAATCATGAGAAAACACCAGACAAACCCAGATTGAAGGACATTCTACAAAATAACTAGCCAGTGTGCTTAACAAGATCATGAAAGATAAAAAAGACTGAAGAAATATCCCAGATTACAGAAAATTAAGGAGAAATAACAACTAAATGCAATGTGTGATCCTGGATTGTATACTGAACCAGAAAAAGGGCATTGGTGGGATAGTTGGTGAAATTTGAATAAGGTCTGTAGGTTAAGTACTAGTATTGTACTAGTGTTAATTCCCTACATCTGAGAATTTTACTGTGGTTACTTAACGATGTTAAATTTTAGGGAAATTGGGTGAAGGGTATAAGAGACTTCTTTGTACTGTTTTTTTTTTTTTTCCTTTTTGTCTTTTTTTCGTGACCGGCAACGGATCGCAACCCTCAGTGTCGCGCCCGTACCGGACCGGGACCAGCAACGGGATCGCAACCCTCGGTGTTGCGCCCGCACCTCGCTCAGCCAGTGAGCGGCTGGGCTGTATGTGGGATCCGAACGCTCGGCGGGAGCGCCGCTGCGCTCCCCAGCAGCGCACTGTAGCAGTGAGCCACCGGGCTGGCCCCTTTGTACTGTTTTTTTTTTTTTTCCTTTTTGTCTTTTTTTCGGGACCGGCAACGGATCGCAACCCTCAGTGTCGCGCCCGTACCGGACCGGGACCAGCAACGGGATCGCAACCCTCGGTGTTGCGCCCGCACCTCGCTCAGCCAGTGAGCGGCTGGGCTGTATGTGGGATCCGAACGCTCGGCGGGAGCGCCGCTGCGCTCCCAAGCAGCGCACTGTAGCAGTGAGCCACCGGGCTGGCCCCTTTGTACTGTTTTTTGCAGCTGTTTTTGTAAGTCAAATTATTTTAAACTGAAAATTTTAAAATAATAAAAAGGAAAACCCCAGGGTGTTGGACATTAAATAAAATGCTTTAATGTGCTGGTTTTGGTGACATTTTCTGTACACTAGTTTTTAAATTTATTTTTGCATGTCATCCTTAAAGCAAAAATGAAATTGAAAGTTCACACTTCTTTCTTTGTAGTGTTCAGGAAGAGCTAAAGATGGCTGAATCTCTAGATGACCAGGATACTCAACTATGTGACAACTGGTAAGAAATTAAGTCTAAGAAATGTTATTGGAATAAGGACAAACTAGCTTCTGTAAAAAGTTGGTTTACTTATCGGCAGGTTAAAATTGGAGCCATATAATATGCTGTGCAAATATGCTATGGGACTAGAGCTTTTTAACAATTTTGGATAAACTGTTTATTTTAGTAATTTGACAAGATGGTTGGTTTAGGTAGAAAAGTGACTGGAGTGACGGGATGAGGCTGGGAGTCAGGGCTCTGGTTCTGGCCTTTAATAACTTTTGGCAAGTAGTGCGCTCAACTGCTTTGGAGCTTCACTTTTCTTACCTATAAATAAGGGAACCTATTTTTTGTATGTCTGAAAAATATTATATGTTTTTAAAAAGATAAGAAAAATATAATAAATATAATAAAATGTTTGGATTAGATGAGTATCGGTGTTTTTCAAAGTGTGATGCAAAGATTTCCCTGTGTGTGCCACAGTGCCTGTCTTGGAGTTGATTGGGAGCAAGGTTTAGTGAACTTGGTTCTACATCCAGTGACAGAGCCATTCATCCAGAGCAGCTCAGTCTTATAAAAGATTTTGCTACTTAAAAAAAAAATGGGTCTAGTTGAATTCCTAAGGTAGTCAGGTTTAATCACTGTATTTTCGTGATTCTAAAACCATTAATAAAGACTGGGCATAGTCTTGAATGTTAAGCTTTCTCTTTCAGTTCCTTTAACCCACGTGAGAGACAAGAAAGCAACTCTCCTTCTGAAATGAAACTTAGGAATATAGTTAATAATCAGCTGGTTCCTGGTAGAGATTTCTCAAGAACTTGTCTTGATATTTTGGTGATGTACAAGTGCTCTTACTAGAAAGCTAAAGAAAAAAAGCAGAACTATCTGTGCTATGTTTAACATCAAATTGTGATAGAGGGAGAGAGAGGTTGAATAGGTAAAATAGTTTGATGCAGATTGGTGAAAGGTTCATGCCAGATGATTTTTCTTTTTCTTTTTTTTATAAGCAAATAGATATATTGGTTTTAGCATCAGTTAAGATATTTTTATCAGTCTACTCCAATATGAAGGAATCTCAAGCCTAAGAAATTATATAAATAACTATGTTAAGGGAATTAAGAAAGGCTGAGTTAATGGAAAGCCAATGAAAATAAGGTTATTCAAAGCCAAAGCAATTTATTTAAGAAAAAAGATTAGCATGGTAGGCTGACTAAGCCTGTATAGATCTCCCATCTAAGTAACCCTGTTTAAATTTCAGGTTTTAAATGGTAGAATTTCTTTCTTTTTTCTTTTTTTTTTTTTTATGGCTGAGGAGTATTCCATTGAGTATATATACCACATTTTCCTTATCCAGTCATCTGACGATAGACATTTAGTTTGGTTTCATATTTTGAATATTGTAAATAGAGCTGCATGGAAATGCAGATATCCCTTCGACATGATTTCCATTCCTTTGGGTATATACTCAGATGTAGGATTGCTGGATCATATGGTAGTTCTACCTGTAGTTGTTTCAGAAACCTCTATATTGTTTTCCATAATGACTGTACTATTTTACAGTCCCACAAAGAGTGTAGGAGGGTTCCCCTTTCTCTACATTCTTACCAGCATTTGTTATTCTTGGTTTTTTTAATACCGGCCAATCTAACTGGCCAATTGAATGAGATATCATTTCACCATAGTTAGATTTTGTGGTTTTGACTTGCATTAGTGATGCTGAGCATTTCTTCATGTACCTGTTGGCCATTTGTATGTCTTCCTTTGAAAGATGTCTATTCAGGGGGAGTGTGAGGGGGATGGGGTGAGATTGGACAAGGGGTATAAAGAATAAGTATGATTTGTAACAATATATATGCTAGTAATATTGATTTGATCAACATATCTCAATATTGAACCCCAAAAATATGTATAATCAATTTTGATCCAATAAAAATAAAAAAAATAAAAAGAAAGAAAGATGTCTATTCAGCTCCTTTGCCCATTTTAAAATTAGATTTTTTTTTTTTTTTTACTGTGAAGTTGTTTGAGTTCCTTATATATTCTGGATATTAATCCCTTGTTGGATGTATAGTTTGCAAGTATTTTCTCCTATTCTGTAGTTTATCTTTCTGCTCTGTTGATTATTGAGCATGGAAAAAATTGTGTTGAGTGAAATAAGCCAGACACAGAAAGAGAAATACTGCATGTCTCATTCATAAGTGGGTGCTAAGAAAGAAGGGGGGCTGTGGAAGAGAAGGGGAGTTGAGGGAAGATTGGGTAAGGGTCATAAAGAATAATTACAATTTGTAATAATGTGCTAATAGTATTGGTTTGATCAACATATGTTGTACACAGGTGATAGTAGTCAATGCTGCACCCCCAAAATATGTACAATCAGTTATGTTTCAATTAAAAAAAAATAAATTTCAGGTTTTAAAATTTTGTCTTTACAGCCACATCCCTATTGTTGTTCCCTAAGAAAAGTTAAAGTACTCTTCAAAATTTGAGCTGCAATTACATCCAACTGCAACCACTAGTGAAAAGAAGAGTTTATTGTGACTGAAGATGTTTTTGCATGTTATTTCTTAGGCGGAAGCCACATCCCTATTGTTGTTCCCTAAGAAAAGTTAAAGTACTCTTCAAAATTTGAGCTGCAGTTACATCCAACTGCAACCACTAGTGAAAAGAAGAGTTTATTGTGACTGAAGATGTTTTTGCATGTTATTTCTTAGGTGGTGTCTGATTCTGGGAAGGGTGCAGTTCTAGGGAATGGAAGTGTCAATATTAGAAGGCTTTGACTTTTTATTTTTGCATATATTAAAGAATTGATTTCTGGTTGTTTCTGTTTAGTGTTGGAAAGCTGTTGGGACTTTTTCTGGAAGCCTTGGCTTGTCTTCCAGTCATTTCTATCTAAAGTGAAATTTCACCTTTAACTTGCTAGCCTTTCCTTGGGGCTTTTAGCAGTTTTATTCGGTTGTGGAATTGAGTTCGCATTTATCTCACTTAAAACATCTTAATTTTATCTGTATGTAGGAAGCAAGAATATTGGTATTTTGTCTGGAAGGAATGTTTGGTGGGAATATCTGGGCAGTAAAATTTAAAAAGAAAATAACCCAGCAGGCAACTGTTTTATATAATTGTTGCATATGTCTTTCATTTTTTTCTTTCGAGGTTTCCCCAAGAAGTGAAAATGTGGAATAGTAAATGCTCTGTGGTCTTACTTGACAGCTACTTTTGATTCTTGCTTCTTCATATTATGATGATGTCATGGTCCTTAATGTTTTTTGTTTTAATTCTAAGGTTTTAATGCCCTTGTATATATAAGAATACTTTATGTCAACAGGTTATCCTGAATCGTCCTGTAAAACTAGACACTTATTTTCTCAGTTTTTGCTGTTAAAAGAAAATATTGTCAAAATTGTGAAAAAGAAATCCAGGATTGCCACACCCTAGGCAGTTATTACTGGCTTTAATTTTTCATGGCATTTGTGCATACATGATTTATAATCATGATATAGCACTGCTTCTTTCACTTTGTTGATATACGGGGGTACCCCAGAAGTTCATGGAAAGATTTGTATTATCTTTTAATTCTATTTTTCCATGAACTTTTGGAAACACCCTCTTATAACTTAGCTATTCCCTTATTGTTTAGACATTTTTTGTTTTGTTTTGGTTTGGTTTTTTGTGGCTGGCTGGTATGGGATCTGAACCCGTGACCTTGGTGTTACAAGGCTGCACTCTAACTGATCTAACTGGCTAGCCCGTGTTTAGACATTTTTAATGACTTTCATCTTTTTACCATTTTATGACACTGTAATGAAAATATTCATGCATAGTTCTAAGAGTGGGATAACTGGATTAACAAATGTGTAATTTTATGGTCCTAGAAACACATTTTCAGGCTGTTTTTAAGCAGTTTATATTACCACCAGTAGTTTATTGGAGTCCTAATTTCACATCTTTTTTTTTTTTAAAAAAAGATGACCGGTAGGGCTGGACTGTGGCTCACTTGGGAGAGTGTGGTGCTGATAACACCAAGGCCCCGGGTTCGGATCCCATATAGGGATGGCCGGTTAGCTCATCGGGTGAGCATGGTGCTGACAGCACCAAGTCAAGGGTTAAGATCCCCTTACCAGTCATCTTTAAAAAAAAAATTTAACTTGGGGCCGACCCCGTGGCGCACTCGGGAGAGTGCGGCGCTGGGTGCGCAGCAGCGCTCCCGCTGCGGGTTCGGATCCTATATAGGGAGGGCCGGTGCGCTCACTGGCTGAGCGCGGTGCAGCTGGTCACAAAGAAGACAAAAAAAATAAAAATAAAAATTTTAACTAAATTCAGTGGTTTCCTTAGAAAGCTAGAAATATAGGAGAAGTTAAATGGGAATTATATTCTATATATTTATATATTCTATGTATTCTATATATATAGAAGTTAAATGGGAGAAGTTATATGGAAAGTTAAATCTGTCATTTCATTGGTAGTGACCCTCTTTATTCATTTGAGTTTTCTTCCCATCTCTCACAATTGATTGTTCTGTCACCTTCCAATTTTGCTATGAGAGTTGCCTTGGGATCCCAAGCTTGACAGTCTGCCATTGGATGAAAATGAATTTGCACTTCTTTGGTGTCTTGGGAGAACGACTATAGCTGGAGGCACATCATTCATTCTTGGAAGTGTTTCTTAGACTATGTATGAAGGTTAAAACTATAAAAGAGAAATAAGCAATCTATAACTTAGTGTGGGAGAGGGTTCCGTCCGGTAGCATTCAGTTTCAGCGGCAAAATAGGGTATTAAGGATTTGTTGTATGACTGTATTGATCCTGTTCAGTATTTTATTTTCCTGGATTTTTATTCCAGGTGACATACTTACAGGTATATTGTTTTAGTGCAGTCTAGCTAAACTGTGAAATTCAAGTTTTCAAGTCGTCATATCCAAATGACTAAAAGTAAGGCCTTTGGATAGTATGTGCCTCTAGATTGAGTGTATATATACTTTTCAAGTTTAAATGGTTTTATTTTTTCACTTAAGATGTTACTTTCTCCCCTTCTTTTCTGTAAACTTAGATATGATCTTTGATTGGATCACTAAACTAAATAAGAATGGCAAAAAGTGAGGAGACAGGACTGGGGAAAGGGGTTGAGGAATTCATATTTGTACAGTTTTGCAGTGAAGTTTATACCAACCCAGGCAGAGAGCATGTTCCTGACTAGCATCCAGCCTGCTTTGAAAGGCATGTGGTACTAAAGGAGGCAATTTTTCCTTCGTCTTTGACTACCCCTGACATCTCCTTTTTGGTTTGACTTTTCATGGAATAAAATCCAATAAAATCAAACTACTTGAGAGTGAAAGTGAAAGTAAATAGTAGGCTATTTTTATTTTTTAAATAATCCTGGAGTATATCACTCTGCTCTGGGGCACGGATGGTTTTGAAGAAGCCTATCTCAGCTCTTCTAGGCATCTGACTTCATGTTGTTGGCTGTGATCAACTCTGACTTCAAGAGTGTGAGACTGGGCTTTTAGAAGTAGTATATAGCACTGATAACTCAGAATGTTGCACAGAAGATTCAGCCTTCAGAGTGTAGTTCCTGAAAAGCAGGGATGGTAATAGTCATAAGAGTTTGTAAACTAGCTATTCACTAAAGAGTAATAATGGGGACTAAAGATTGGATAGGACAGATTACCATTGGAAACCACTGTGTAAGAAAAGGCATAGATCAATCAGTAATGCTTGCCTTTTTCTTTGGTCTATTTCTGTAGCAAAAAAGAAATTCCTGTGTTTAACTTTACCATTCATGAGATCCACTGTCAAAGGAACATTGGTATGTGTCTTATCTGCAAGGAACCATTTCCCAAATCTGACATGGAGACTCACATGGCTACAGAACACTGTCAGGTGAATCACCAAGTACTCAAAATTTTCAAAAATGTGCAATAGCAAGTGAATATATTGTCACAAAGCCAGTTTATTGACTTTTCTTCTTACCCTAGGTGACCTGCAGATGTAACAAGAAGTTGGAGAAGAGGCAGTTAAAGCAGCATGAGGTTAGTCTTCTTGTATTATGAAGGGAGTGAGTTACCATAGGGCCAGTCCTACTGAGATTACAAAGCAACATTCAGAACAGAAAGCCAGTCTGGTTGAGTCTTTGTTCTCAATCAACTCACATGCATATTGTTTCTCAAGGCCTTTTTAAGGCTTTGACTATTTGATTGCTGCCAGTTTTGACTGCCTGGCTGTTGCACCCCATTTTCAGTCCTCAGAGTCTTTCCCTTTGGAACTGAATTTATAATTTCTGCTGGGGTTTAGCTATTGGTAGCCTCACTGAGTACAAAGCCAAGCCTGGGGTTGCCAGTGTGGATCTCTTTAGCACATAGCCTGCTTTATTTATATCTTGTAATTTTATTTTGAATTTTTTTTTTTTTTTTTTTTAGTGGCTGGCCAGTACAGGGAACCAAACCCTTGACTTTGGTGTTACAAGGCCATGCTCTAACCAGCTGAGCTAATTGGCCAGCCCCATTTTGAATTCTTGATCATTGGATAACATGCTTTTTACACCTGAAGAAATTCCTCAGAGGGCATTTGGTGAGAGAAAACATGATATCATTTGGTCTCTAGTGGAGATAAAACTGGCCAAAGTTAAATGAGTATATTAATTCACCAATTAAAAAACTCTAACAACAACAAGAAAAAAAGTTAGCAGCAACATTATCAAAAAGACAGAATGACAGATGCTAGCGAGAGTGTCAAGAAAGAAGAATCCATCTATACTGTTGGTGGGGCTGTAAATTAGTATAGCCTTTATGGAAAACAGTATGGAAGTTTCTCAAACAACTACAGGTAGAGCTACCATATGATCCAGCAATCCCACTGCTGGGTATATACCCGAAGGAATGGAAATCATCATGTCGAAGGGAAACTTGCACTCTCATTTTTATCACAACTCTATTTACAATAGCCAATATATGGAACCAACCTAAATGTCCATCAATAGATGACTGGATAATGAAAATGTGGTACACATACACAATGAAATACTACTTAGCCATAAAAAAGAATGAAATTCCAACATTCGCAGTAACATGGGTGAGCTTGGAGAAAATTATGTTAAGTGAAATAAATCAGACACAGAAAGAGAAATACTCCATGTCCTTACTCCCTAGTGGGAGTTACAAAAGGAGGAAAAGAAGGAAGGAAGAGCAAACACAATAATATGTTGAACTTTCAGAAGGAGAGAGCAGAACTGTGGTTACTAGAGGTGGGAAAGGGGGAAGGGGGAAGGGGAGAGGGGTTAGGGAGAAATGGGTTAATGGACACCAAGAATGAGTACATTTTACAATGATAGATATGCTAATTATCCTGATTTGCTCATCACATATTGTACACAAATACTGATAGTCAACTCTGTACTCCGCAAATATGTATAATTAATTATGTTTCAATAAATAAATAAATAAAAGTTAGCATCAACAATGATGACTAACAAAGTATCTAATTAAGCCCAGAGCAAATTCTGAGCTGAGAAGACTCCAAAACAAAAAAGCAAAAAACAATCTCCAACAACTATTTAGGTGGTGGTCTCACAGGAAAATTTATTAAGATATGCACTTAAGATTTGTACATTTTATTCTGTGTACCTCAAAAAACTATAACAACTTAATTTTATTAATTTATAATTAAATTACCCTTAATTATAAAAGGTAACTTATATCAATGTAGAACATTTGGAAATAGGGAATAGTATAAAAAGAAAATAAGAACCACTCATAACCCCACAGCTCAGAGAAAAAAATCTCATAAATACCTTGACACTCTTACTTTCATTATTTTTTTCTAAGCATTTGATGTGTATTTTGCTAGGACTCATCAGCCTGGGGGGTATTATTGAAGTCACATTAACAATAATAGTATTTCTCTGGCTCTAGCATCTATCTGCTATGTTAAACAACCTCCAATAAACTGCCCCCCTCTCATAGCTTCTCTCCCAGCTGTTTCTGGAAGTCCTGTGGTGATAAACCAATCATTGTAAAGGGACAGGTACAAAATGTTCCTTAATATTTCTACAGGTTAGACTATGACAATTTTTGACCAGAGATTAACTATCTAGAGTTTTTAAAAGTTCTCTTTTTCTTTAATAGTTTTATTTGCTGTTCCCATGAATTACTAGCACTTTTTTGTTTGTTTGTTTTTTGTTGCTGTTGCCCGGCACAGGGATATGAAACTAGCACTTTTTAGAGTTGTTAACAAAGTACTTACTATATTATATGGTACATGCAGTAATTATTTCTTCTTCTGCTATTGAGTAACTTAAATCAGTGGCATTTTTCTAATAAAAAAGCTTAAAAAAATTTTTTTTCTCAGTTGGTATTATATCTACATGGCATACAATTTGAAAGCTGCAAAAGGATATATGTAAAAATTGTCTCTCTTCACCCTTGTTCCTCAGCTACCTAGGCCCTTTTTATCAGTTTGTTGTTTTTCCTGCAAGAGATGTTTTATGCAGATACAAACAGTGCTAAAAATGTTTGCAGTAGCATTTAGAATAAAACTTGAGTTTAATTTATATGAAAAGAAATTTTTGTTGTTTGGCACAGTGGTTGTAAAACTTTTCAAATGATGTTACATTAAAGTTCTAAGCTTATGCTCCCAATTTTTGGAATGTACATATCATAGTAACATATTCCTTTATATCTTTTCATCTTTTTAGTGCTTTAGTGACAATTTCCAATTAAGTGTAAAGGTTTTGTCCTTTATCTGCTGAGTACATTTATTCTCCTGGGGTCATCTTCATTGATGATTCCTTGCTTATTTGATCCATTTAAAGCCAGTGCTAAATACACATATGAAGGATAGAAAAATGGGTGTCTTTCTTTTTTTTTTTCCTTCCAAATTTTATTTTATTTTGTCAATATACAATGTGGTTGGGCCGGCCCGGTGGCGCACTGGAGAGTGCGCCGGTTGGGAGTGCGGCGGCGCTCCTGCCGAGGGTTCGGATCCCATGTGGAGACTGGTTCCCGCTCACTGGCTGAGCGTGGTGCGGGTGCAACACCGAGGGTTGCGATCCCGTTGCCGGTCCCCGGTATGGGCGCGACACCGAGGGTTGCGATCCCCTTACCGGTCAGTAAAAAAGACACAAAGGGAAAAAATATATATATATATACAATGTGGTTGATTATTGTGGCCAATTACTGAAACATCCCTCCCTCCTCTCTCTCCCCTCTCCCTCACAACAATGTCCTTTCTGTATGCTTGTCGTATCAACTTCAAGGAATTGTAATTGTTATGTCTTCTTCCCTCCCCCCCCCCATTTTTTTGTGTATTTATTTATTTATTTTTAGCTCCCACAAATAAATGAGAACATGTGATATTTCTCTTTCTGTGCCTGACTTGTTTCACTTAATATAATTCTCTCTAGGTCCATCCATGTCATTGCAAATGGTAGTATTTCATTCTTTTTTATAACCAAGTAGTATTCCATTTTGTAGATATACCACATTTTCCGTATCCACTCATCTGATGATGGACATTTGGGCTGATTCCAACTCTTAGATATTGTAAAGAGTGCTGCGATGAATATTAGAGAACAGGTATAACTTCGATTTGATGANGCTGAAGAGGCAGTCTCTTCCCCAGTGTATAGTCTTGGTGCCTTTGTCAAAGATCAGATGGGTGTAGGTATGTGGGTTGATTTCTGGATTCTCTATTCTATTCCATTGATCAGTGTGTCTTTTTTTATGCCAGTACCATGCTGTTTTGGTTATTATAGCTTTGTAGTATTGTTTAAAGTCGGGTAGTGTTATGCCTCCAGTTTATTATTTTTGCTCAGCATTGCTTTGGCTATGCGTGGTCTTTTGTTATTCCATATAAATGTCTGGATAGTTTTTTCCATTTCTGAGAAAAATGTCATTGGAATTTTGATGGGGATTGCATTGAATTTGTATATCAATTTGGGTAGTATGGGCATTTTCACAGTGTTGATTCTTCCAATGCAAGACCATGGGATATCTTTCCATCTTCTTGTATCCTCTCTA